CAGAGCTTGAAACAACAAACTCTTTTTGGTGGATGACATCAATGTTCCCTGATAACATTTGGTCCATGAAGCCAGCCTTTCTAAACAACACTGCATTAGGTTATTGGTGGTATCGGAGGATTCTTCAGATATCTATATTGGTCTGATATTGAACATTTAGCCGAATTTGGCACTGTTGTTTTTATACTGCCGCAGTCTCTGTGTGGCCTTATGTCATTCACAGATTGTCCTCAGTGCGTCAGATTTTTTGTTTTTTAACTAATGAGTCATGCAACAAATAATTAATATCTCAGATACATTTTGTTAATTTTTTTTTTGTTAATTTGTGAACTTAAAGCGGACATGTTATGCAAAAGCAACTTTTTAGAGCTTTTCCCTCTCAAAATAGTTTTATAGAGTTATTCATGAATGTTTGAGTTATCTTTATACACCTGTATTCAAGATGTCATTTTGGTACAAATGAAAAAAATATGTGTTACTCACTAATGTGATTTGCAGCGATCCACAGGAGGTGCTGACAGCTGTGTGGCTTTCGTTTACACCGATGTGTTCTGCCATTGGGCACCGCCGTTTTATAATGTGGAAGTCATCAGGCTTGTTTCTTTTATTAAGACATTTTAGATCAATATTGCAACTTAAAATGTCCAAATAATAACGTAATATAGAGTAACATAGAGCATACCTACTGTGTATAGACATAGCAGACAAAACCACAATATGTCTTCTTTAACTATGATTTAACATACATTTCCAGTATTAGCAACAAGACAAATATCGTATGTATCAGTTATTGGTTCAAACATCCACATCAGCCCTAACAGTGCGCGCACTGAGAAGAGGCACCACCCACATTGTCAAACAGTACTTGTTTACCTATCTCACACTTACACGTCCTGTAGCTTACTGGATGTAACACATTAAGCCTGTGAATCGCTAAACCTCAGCTTAATCTGCTCCGACATGTTCAATGATCAACCCAATCGGTAAACCTCGCCTCCTCAGCTTGAACAAATAGGTTGGTCTGGAGGTATGCGCCGCGTTAGTTTAGCCATGCGACCGTATAGCTAGCTGCACATCGATTGGCTCATCCCTGATTGAACGCGCAACAGGGCATTAGCGAGGCCAGCCATGTCCCAGGCCACTCCGACTGTCTCCTCCATGTCTGCATCCCTCCATAAATTATGTGTATATGATAAGATAAGACTCTAGGCCAGTAGAATAAAAATATAACGCTTCAAAACCATGGCCTACGTATATGAACAAGAAAAAATACCAAGTCAAATGATTGTGATTGTGATTATGATTAGATTTGGAAAAAAGAAAACATGAACTGACCAAGAATCCCCTTTCAGAACATGTTTGCAGATCTAAACTACAAGAGTTAGCAGTTTTTTATGCAGAATAAGACAGGATATTTAGTTTTTTGTGTAGGAAATCATGGCACTCGGTAAGGTAAAAAGAATTTCAGCCTTTGCTTGTTCCAAATTGCGTCCATTAAAACTGTGATTTTGATTTGATTGCGATTAAGCTTGCAGGCCCAATCCTACTGTTATGTTACAATAAGTCACTATGATTAAGGTTATTCACAGTGCAGCATATGGACAGAATGAAAAGCAGGAGTAGTGACTTCAGTGGATTGTACCAGTGCCGATTCACACTATTCTACAGATTTACAGGTGGATCACACATGGGCGAGCAGTGTTCATTGTGCAGGCTTAGTCTTGGTTATCTAATTGTTTATTTACACTTTGCAGCTGATCTCTCCAATGTTCCCTGGGGGTGTGAAGTTAACTGAAAGCACTATTCTGTTTGAAGCACTGTCAAAGTAGACTTAACGTATTTTTTGGACTATAAGGCACACTTAAAATACTTTAATCTTCTCGTAAATCAACACTGCGCCATGTAATCTGCCTTATGTATTAATTCTGGTTGTGCTTACTGCCTTTGAACCGATTTTATGTGGTACACGGCGTTTAAAAATCTGTCAAAAAGTTTTAGTACGACTTTGGTAAGCTACAAAGCCGCACCGCTTGATGGATTGTCGGAGCATTACGGCTACTGTAGTCAGGAACCTTGCAGACTAGTCCAACAGAAGCTGACCACATCAAGGCACAAGGAGGGAGCAAATTTTTTCCAGCGCTTGTAGTTTATGCAAATTAGCCATGTGGTTTTAAGTTTTGTTTCGGTAAAATGTAAACAAATGTGCGGAAAGCTGCATTAAACACATTATTACTCAATGTATATGTTATTAAGTTATTTTTTCAGACCTGACAGTTTCGACTGCTCACTAGTGGTCTTCCTCAGAGTGATCACGTGATGTTGCTGTGGTGCTGTTTTTCTACGGGTGGGGGGCAGGACGACAACACCATCTGCAGTCCGACTTCCTCAGGACAGTATCCCAGGTGTGTGAGAGTAAAAAAGCCCCTCGTCCCAGAGCAAACATCATCATTGAGACAGAGGAAAACAAACATCGTCGCTGGATTAAAGAGGCAATCGAAAAACGGAAATAATAATGAGGGGGCTTTTTTACTCTCACACACCTGGGATACTGTCCTGAGGAAGTCGGACTGATGGCGCTGCCGTCCTGCCTCCACTGGTAGGAAGACAGCGCCAAAACCTGTATAAATCAGCTGACTGGACACGTCACAGCAACATCACGTGACAGTCGAAACTGTCAGGTATGAAAACAAACTCTTAGTCTGAAAAAAGAACCTAATAACAAATTATCAAAAGACCAAATAAACCTCATCGGACTATTACTCAGTGTATATTTGAGTCCTCCTGATACAAAAAAAAACAAAACAACTAACTTAAATTATCTATTCACATTCATAATACACATTCACCAAAACAGGGAGGCAACGCCGGGCGAATTACTCACGTCTGGGCTAAGGGATCAGTCTCAATGCGCCTTATAATCCAGTGCACTTTATGTATGAAAACAGACAAGAGAATTCAACATTATTGATATTGCGCCTTATAATAGTCTATCCAGAAAGAACTGACACTTAGCAGGTGAGATGTTTTGTGTGCGTAAACAAGTCTCTCACACATAAAATTAATTACAATGTGTTAAAATCCATTTTATTTTTCTACCTTGAATTTTCAGATTTAATATTTATAACGTTTTGGTCTGTGTTTGCTTATCTGTACATTGTGTTACCTTGAAAACTGCTGAACATAACGCCAACGGACATATATGTAGAACTACCCCAGCGTGATGTCAGTGCAAAGTATGAATTTTTTGACTATTCCCTTCTGAACTTGAGTTAGCAAAGTCCGTGAGATGCCTATTTTTGGTGTTACATCTGGGGGTAGTTTTAGGAGGGTCAGGGGGGTTAAGCGTTCCTTCTTTAGTTGAGAGGGGGATTTCTTTGCGGGATCACAGGAGACAAAGGAGATAGTTGAGAGGAGCACTGAGAAACATTTATGCGGAGTCACTGTCAGCTGACTCACAGGACCATACTGTGTTTGTTAGATAATTGAATTGTATGTCTAATTATGCACGGTTTCTGGGAACAAAGTTATTCATTTGTACGTGTCCTTAAATGGCATTACATGTTTTGGCTGGATTGTAATGGAAATATTATTGCCATGTTAAATTTCGAAGTCAATGTTGGGAAATAAGACCTCGGATGACATCATATTGGGAAATGTTTTGATTTCCTTAGTTGGAGATATGAACTAAGAGTAATAATTTTTTGGCCATAAAGTCAGTGCGTGATTAGATAAATAAATTTTGCATTATGTTAATATTATGAAATGTAAACTGATCACTTGATAACCAAAGATCAAGGTTTGTAAGGTTTCATATATCATCGCTCCTTATCAGTTTGATCATGAAATTAATCCATTTTTATTTGTTTTGGATGAGGAAAAATAAATCAACTGTGATCGAAGAATACTACATTTTTGCCATATTGCCCAACTAACCTGTCACAATGAAAAATTTGATGTGATGATTAAAAAAAAAAAAAAAATAAGATGATAAATGAAAGTGTTGAAACTTACGCCACTGAAGTAAGAATCCAAAAGCAGAATCATCCCAAAGTAGTGCTTCTCAATTATGGAAATATATCTTTATCACGATTATTTTTAGTCAATATTGAAGTCATGATTATTCAAATGAGTATTTTTTAGCTAAACAATGTATTTATTCAGCATTTCTCTCTTGAAAAAAAATAAAAAATAAAATAAATACATAAATAAAGGCTACAAATATCTTAGAGGAGTTTTGCAATGTATAAAACATAAAATGAATAAAATATACTTTACATGAAATAAGGCATTGAAAAACTTAAATGTATCCAAAATAAACTAAACTAAATAACCAGCTGTTCTACAATCTCTGCATTAAAATATATATATATATATATATATATATATATTATATATATATATATATATATATATATATATATATATATATATATATATATATATATATATATATATATATATATATATATATATATATATTCTTAAGTTAACTCAAGTTTGACCCACAAATTGAAATTAAGATCAAATTTCAATTAATTGCACAGCCTTACCCCAAAGCATATTCTCACTGTACAATATTGCAATCTATAATGAGTCACATTCAGCTCAAATACAGTATCATCATATTATAGGAAAATAATAAAAGATTTCACACTTGTACAAAGAAAAAGTACCCATGATAAATATGCCTGTCATGATGGGATAATCCCAGTTAATCAATTTTGAACTATGCTGTATCATTAAACAAAGAAATAGCAGAATCAACCAATGAACAACCATAAAAGTTACTTATTTAAACCTTTTACATTTCAAATCATATCGTATTAAAACAAAAATTTGCACGTTATTGCAAAGAAAATCTACACATGATAATAAGTGAGCCCAATTTCATATCATATCTCAAACTTTTATTTAAGTATTTCATCTGGTCCAAAGTTACAAACCAGACTTTTTATGGTTTAAATGTTGTTGATTTGTTGTTGTTGTTGTTGTTGTTGTAGGTCCCTGATGTGTGATGGTGGCTCCGGGCGGCTGTGAGGGCCTTTGCTGACTGCTTCTTCTTCTTGTGTCCATCTTGAATCCAGGAGGACAGCCCCTGCTCCTCTTCCTACCGGGCAGCGTAGCGTTGGTAAGTGTCTGCAGGAGTGTTTTGGCAATACTAAAATGTCAAACTCTATATATTCTTTAATCAATATAATAAAAATACTCAATTTCAATACCACAATTATAATAAAATGCTCTTTTTAGACAATAGACTTGTTTAGAATGACAAATAATAGTGTGATCTTTATGTTACAGTGTGGTAGAGATTCAAGATTAATCATAATCTAATTAAAAGTGCAATTTGAATGGATTTAATTCACAGATTTTCTCCACAACCAAGTAAATATTCTTATTCTTACTCTGCAAAAAACCTTTAAACTGAATTGTAGTTTAGATTCTGTACAGATATACACTGAAATACCGTACTGTACACTGAAAAACATTGTTTGGCAGTTCATATTTCAGTGTTTTTGACAGCTCCTGAACGCTTTCAAAATGTGAACTTTGAACAGAATCCTTGTGCTAAAACAATTCCAAATCTTGTTGCTGCGCTTGTCAGAACAGATACAGCTCTAACATGTGCTCTTATAGTAGTTCTGATAACGCTCAAGATCTTTCTAAAACTATTCAGTAAAGATCCAATTTCTGACCAATTTTCCAATAATGATACTAAAATATGCATCTAATTTTTATACAGTTTTTATTATCTATAAGTATGTGAGTTCTAATACTGTTGACAACCCTACTATGCAGCCTGGTGAGTGGACAGATGTGTAAATCACACCTCTGCTCCCTTTCACATGTCCTCTTCTCCTTCTGGCGATGATTCCAACGTGTAAACTTGTGTGTGAAAAACCCAGATACTTTTTTTTTTCTTTGTTCAACTGACCAGAACTGAAATATCAACAGTATGTCACTTTGCATCGTGGATGAGTTACAGAAAATATAAGGGTTTGTGAATAATATTTGAAACAATAGGAAAGCGAAGACCTGGCATTTTTTGTTGTTACTGTGTAAAGTAAAGTAAAGAATAATTGTTTTGTGGATCTGACAATCAATAAATACAAGTAGAATATAGAGTATTAGCAAATAGAGTTGTCAAAAGTATAAAAAATCTGTTACTAACAATATTAAAACTAGTATCGAAGTACTTTGAACGACTTATATTATACAAATATAAGAGCAGATGATAATTTGAAAGATAATACTATGATTTAATGTTGAAAATTAAATTCTATTGTACAGTCTTTTTATGATTGTGGTATAGTTTTGCGTATCGAAATCAAGTTTGACATTTTAATATTGTTTTTGTAAGGTTAAATCATGTTAATTTCATATTTTGTATTTCATTGTTTCACTGTTTTAAGTCAGGGACAACACTTTGTTTAGCATTTTTACCTTAGTTTAGGTAATGAAAGGGAAAAATATTTTGTTACAATACTGCAAATGTTAATGAACCCTCATATTAAAATCTGAATTCTCAAATTGAAGGTCATATTTTGGTAAATGTTTATCCCGTGCAGGAGTTCACCCTTGTCGGTCCCTTGTGTTTTCATTAGCTGACATTGTGCACTGTGACCATGGTAACCTCTTTCCATCTCTTCCTCCTGTCTGTCTCCTCTCTCTCTCTCTCCTTGCTCTCCTCTCTTTCTATCCTCCTTTTGTTCTCTCTATTTCTCGCTCTTCTACTACCCCCCTCCACCACCTTCTTGTACTCTTCTATCTCTCTCTCTTGTCTTTCTCTTTCTTCTACTCCTTCCTTTCTCACTTTCTCTCCTTCTTCTCCTTTCTCTCACTCTCTCTCTCTTGTCTTTCTCTCTTCTACTACCCCCACCTTTCTCACTTTCTCTCTCTTTCTCTCCCTTCTACTACCCCCTCCTTTCTCTCACTCTTTCTCTTTCTTGTCTTTCTCTCGTCATCCTCTCTCTTCTACTATACCCCTCCTTTCTTGCAATCTTCTCTCTCTTTCTCTTGTTTCTCTCCCTCTTCGACTACCCCTCCTTTCTCTCTCTTCTTCACTCTTCACTCTTCTCTGTCTCTTGTCTTTCTCTCTTCTACTACCCCACCTCTCTCTCTCTCTCTCTCTCTCTCTCTTCTACTACCCACCTCTCTCTCTCTCTCTCTCTTGTTTCTCTCCCTCTTCTACTATCCCCTCCTTTCTCTCACTCGCTCTCTTTCTTGTCTGTCTTTCTCCTACTACCCCCTCCTTTCTCTCTCTCTCTCTCACTCTCTCTCTCTTGTCTTTCTCTCTCTTCTACTACCCTCACCCTTTCTCACTTTCCCTCTCTTTTTCTGTCTCTTCTACTACCCCCTCCTCCTTTCCTGCCTCTTCTCTCCTCTCTCTCTTTCTCACCCATCTCTTCCTTTCCCCTCCCCCCTCTCTCCTTTATTCTCTCTTATCCCTTTTTCTTCTCCATTCTCTGTTTCTTCTTCCGTCACACTTTCTCTTTCTTCCTTCCTTTCTCTCTCACATGCCTCCTGTCCTCACCTCTCTCTCTTTTTCTTTCTTCTTTTCTTTTCTTTCTTTCCCTCTCCTCTTTCTCACCCCTCTCTTTCTCTCTCTTTTCTGTCTCTCTCAGGCAGTAGCAGTAGCAGCAGCAGCCTCACGAGCCTCAGGACATGCAAACCCAGCCTCCATCACACATCGAGCCCACTCCTCCCTCCCTTCCTCTCCTCCTCCCGCCCTTACGAAGACATCCCCCCCTTTTTTTTATACTGTTACATAGTCGGAAATGGATCGGCGGCACTTTGGCTACACTTCCTCCAACACCTTTTGAATAAGGTACAAGGCATTGCATGACTAGAAGCGCACACACCTCTTTGTCTGTGAAGATAAGCAGGCCGTTGACTTTGCATTGTGGAGAATATGCAAGCGTAGAGACCAAAGGAGCGTTCCAATATGCAGCCCTCAAGAAAGGCCACAGCAAGGAAGTGTGGACAAAATGCTTAAAGGACACGTATTATGCAAAACTGACCTTTTATTTAGCTTTTAATCATGTTATATTGTTGTCTCCTGTTCAAAAACATACCTGGAGTTGTGTTTTGCTTCATTCACGTGTGTTTCATAAATCCAAAGTCATCTTCTCGGTTTGCTTTTTGCCGTGATTGTTGCATCATAGGTAAAAATACAGACTTCCTAAACCATCTATTCTGTGCTTCATTTGTTTGTTTTCATTCCTGTTGCTGACAACAGAGGGAGCTCCAACGCCTAAACACCTAATTGGAAATGGACGTGTTGTTTATAAAGTGTTTTACAAAATAATTTTAACTTGTGAAATACTAATCCCAAGGTGACCAAAAGCATGTTTAAAAGGGAATTAAAGCCACAAAAATGCATAATATGTGTCCTTTACTGATAATGTTATTCTATGACTATAATTATTATTATTCTGTATATCATTCATATTAATGTTATTACGATTATTAATAATGTTGAAGCATGATTTTGCAAAAAAAGAAAAAAAAACCCAATGCTGTACATTTTTAGATATTTTAACGAAAGACAAAAAGGTATTTTTGTAATCGAAAATATGTTTGTTTGAATTGTATGATTGTTGTTAAAGTGTGTAAGGAACTACTTTCATACTCCTGCTTCTTCTTTGCCATTTGAGTCGCTGTGTTATACCAAAGCAGTCATGTGATGATTTGATTTTTTATTTTAATTGTGCTGTGCAAAGGTTTTAACCAAGTTTGGAGGAGTCAAATTAGACTATATTTACCTACTTTTGTCAGTACATACAATATTTGCCCAAACCAAGAACAATAATAAAATTTTTAGTAGGGATGTAACAATAATCAAAAATCTTACAATAATATCATGGACTGTCACAATAAACCAAATTACAAGTTCCTTTGCCTTAAAGCATTGTTTTATAGCAGCAACAGCTTATAAATAAAGGGAACTACACATCCCGTGATTCATTTCAGTGCAGATGACATGAAGAAATATGTTTTTCTGCTTAATTATTGAGATTATGAGAGTAATGATTCACAGCTTCAGTCACCACAGGCTTGTCAAGGTTTTTTAAAAGCAAAAAAAGTGTCCTATCTACAATTTTATTAGTCTCTTCAGAATAAATGTGGAGTGAAATGAATATCGTGACAATATTATACTGTGAGATTTGGATATCGTTACATCCCTAGCTTTTAGTATTGCAAAATAAGGCCATTAAAGATGAACTAAGTAACATTTTCTGTTATGAGTCTGCCACCACAGAGATTATTATTACTTACAATATGATATTAAACTTATCAAACATGCATGGTTCAATTACAGGTGTTTTTATTGCTCAAAAGTACATTTAAAAACATAATTCTTACTGTAAGCAGTCTCTTCTCCACAGACCTGACCCGTAACTTAGATTGGAGATGGAGATGGGTTTTTTAATGCCTCAGTGGAGACAGGCAGGCCTTCCATCAGCAAAGTTACATAGTGCACTTTTAATACACCCTAATGACAAAAGTCCCTACTATAATTTTCATTTTCAATCGTCCGACCTGCCTATTGCTTTTGCACAGTGCTGCGTGTTTTGTGAGTGGAGTTCTGTTTGCTCGAGCGTATTTAAACCCAATGAAGCAAACACTTGTCTTTAGTCGTACAACTGAGCAGTGATAACGAGTGATTACATATTTAGCTCAGAATGTATTTGTTTTTGTCTTTTTCAAATCCAGATCAACGCTTTGAAGGGCATTTTAGGTTTCGTTCACAACCTTATAGAATCCTAAAAGTTAAAACTGAGGACAGGTTTGATTTCTTTGCCAGAATTTGCTGTTTAAAAGAGATTTGTTTACCTGATTTTTGTAATTTCTGTAATTACCGTGCCTATCCTCGTGAAAAAAGTGGACAAATTTCAGCGTATTCTCTGGCAGCATAAATATAAAAAAAAATTAATTATTCTTTCATAATAGCTTCAGAAAGTGGTGCCATTCTGATGGTTAATATGGCAAGTTTGTAGAGCCAAGCCCTGACTAAAATATAATGATTAGGGTCAACATTTGTGGATTATTATTTTTATAAAAACAGCAAATCTCCCATAGAGTTGCAGACCCATGCCGTCCGTTTGAAATTATAACATCGTCCAATTCAAGAATGTGAACGCAACCTATTGACAGCAGCAAGAAGCCATCTTTAGCAATAGAAAAGTGACCGTCTGAACATTTCCGAACTGAGCCCTGCTAAAATTAGACCCTTTTTGTTGTGAAGAAGGAGAAAGAAACAAAAGACCAAAGGTATTTTTTACACTGGAGAGCTGTTCGGCTAGTGAAACGATGATTCAGTTGTGACAGCTTTGTAGTCTTCATTTTGATTTCTTATGAAGTATAACATTATTATATTATTATTTTTTGTCTAGCGTGTCTTTTGGTGTCATTCCAAAAGAGCAATCAGAAACAATATTCACTTTAAGCAATTATCTTTTGTCTATTTTTAGGAGACTTTGTACAACTCAAATTTACATCATTGTAATCGGACAGGGGGAAAAATAACAACCTTTTGTAAATGTGTGTTTCGTGCGCCTGCAATAATGTCTGGCTGTTTGACATATCTGATCATCTTCTTGACATTTTACGCCGATTTTCATTCAAGTCAACACACAAAGCAAATTTTGTGTTTTTGCTGATGAGGTCGTGTCACATTTCAAAATCATGTGACAATCAAGAGCAAAAAAAAAAAAAGAAAAAGCAAATCGAAGCTTTTGTCCAGCTTGGCAATCAACTTCAAATATTCATGTTTTTGTAATGAACTATAATATGCATATGATATCAACTGATTTTATGAAGCCGGACTGCTTTTTTTAGCCAATACGGCACCAAATTTTTAAGTATTTATAAGGTGTGTGCGTGTTGTTTTGGAATTGTTTTATAGCCCCTTATATAAGTCAATGTAAGTATTATTGTAAGTTTAATTGTATATTCATTTTGGTAATTTTAAGAGTTTTATGTGTTTGTAATTGACTGAGTGGATTTAATGTTTTTGAATATGTTTTTATCTACATCATTCACTGTGAAATCCCAGATAGTACATTTTGACTGGTACTGACGACGATCCTGGAAGCCCAACCAATAATGACATCCCAAGTTCTCCAAGTGAAAAGCGCCTATCCAAATGTTTTCAGTATAATCGTGTATGTGTTCTGTGCATGTTCACGGCATGTGTGTGGGTTTTTGTTTTTTTCTTATACAGTACTGTTAATATTTATGTACCTTATGTAGACCGCTGTGAGGAGAAAATGCATTTCAGTGAATTGCAGAGGTTAATAGGTTTGTTTGTTTAAGAAATCATGAAAAAAAGTTGAATCAAAAAGAGAGGTTTTTATGAAAATGTAAAATGAAGACATTCAAGGCCATATGACATTAAAGATTGACGTCATCCCTGCTGTCATGGAGTGGTTGTTTCTTTTCAATTGTTTCCTTTGTTAAATCATTTATTTCAAGTAATGTAATTGACATGAGATAAAGAACTGACCAAATATGGTTCTCAAAACAACATTCTCTTCTTCTATGACTGCAATTAATTATGGTTTCCTTTAGTGGAGGATATACTCAAGTTGTACTTTAAATTATACTCTTAACCAAATATTTATACTACTTTCAGACTGCAACTACTGCTTCTACTGCATTCAACAAATTTTCTACTAATACCCAATACTTTCAGACTATACTACTACAATTATTTTCAGTATTTTACTACAACCTTAATAGTTTCACCCATCTATTACTAAAACACTAGGGGTGTAACGATATCCAAATCTGACTATACGAAATCGTCACGGTATGAACCTCACTGTATGATATTTATTCCGATATCATGGGAAAGCTCACGATATGGTGGGGAGGCTCACGATTAGGGATGTAACAATATCCAAATTGGTGCAATATTTTCACGATATATACCTCACAGTATGATATTTATTGCGATATTTTGTGGAGGCTTATATGCTACTTTTTCCTCTTAAAAAGCCTTGACAAGACTTAAAAAACTAAGACTTAAAAGTGCTTAGAACTGTTTTTTCTTCCTGTAATCTGCACTGAAATGGAGCAAAGGCTCATGGTTCCCTCTGTCTTTTTTTTTTGCTGCACCATAACTTTTCATTTAAGCAAAGACACTTGTAATTCCATATATTTGTGATGGTCCACAATATTATTGTGAGAACTTTGACGATACGATATCACAATATTTTGGTTATTGTTACATCCCTATAAAACACTACTACTACTTTTGGCCTATTACTTTTTCTTCCAGTCAGCTGTACTACTAAAAAACTGCTAATACTTATGGATTACGCCTATTTCGACTATTACTACTAACATTAGACTTAGACTTAGACAAACTTTATTGATCCACAAGGGAAATTATTTGGACACAGTAGCTCACACATTCACAATATAATGTATTCTAAATAAGAAGCAAAAAAGACCAAGAGACCTGTCAGATAAGACATAATTATATAAATGGATATGTACAAGTCAAAATAAAATAGGAAAATAATAGTAATAGTAATAAAAAAAACAAAAACTGTTTCACAATACTTCTTTAAGGTTACTACTTTCAGCCAACTGCAACAACTACTACTTCCAGATAACTACTACTGCTAAAATACTACTGGGCCTACTACTTAAGGGATCTTACTACAATTTCTAGGCTTTCTACTTTCATTCTACTGCAAATACTGCGGCTAGCTCTCGCCCACGACTATGAAAAATACAGTTCAAACATTTAAGGCTGTTCAAGTGTCATAAAATTGTTTTGACAAACTGTCTTCAAAAATAGATAAAACTAAATTGGTAACAGTATGACCAGTTTGTGACTACGCTCTGCTGTGTTAAATGCAGATGTTATGGTGGGAGACAAGCTTGTGTAGAAATCTGGAGTGATGTTCTTTGAGCCTCAGGGGCCTGTGTAAGTACAGTAGTCTTATTGTTCAACGTGCCTCTTTCAAATGCCTCCCCTACAGCTGCAGAAACATTGAAATGCATTGAAACAGTAACAACTTAACCCTTACGCAAAATATTTTCTGCACAAACCAGATGATTTATGTTTCTTATTTTTTTCAATGTAACAAAAAACATGTTTCAGGACAGAAAAATATACTCTGAAATGTAAAAATACTTCCAGACATTGAGAAAAATTACATAAATTTGCTAGATAACAACAGAAATCAGTGTTTTAACAATATTCATTTTAGCTGCCACCCATCTGAATTACCCAATAATTATGTTTGGTTAAGTGATCCAAAGGTGGCCATATCCAATACTTTTAACCCACAAAGCAACTGAACTGCAGAGTCCATTTTTTTCTCAGTCTTTAGCGTCATTTTGTCACACCTCCCCACAGGATTCCCAGTAGAAACGTAATGTGTGATCCTATAAAGTGGTGTGTGCATCGTGGGAGCAGCAGACCTCTTCCTGCCCTCTTCCAGAATAGACCACCTAACCCAGGGGTGGCCCACTCCAGAGACTAGGGCCAATGCCAATCTAGGCTGGGTTCACTCTCTCCATTGTCACACCAGGCAAGTAGCGTGCAGTGATTTCCTACAAGCTACACGTAATTAGAGTTATTTATAGTCCAGATAACGATTATGATGATTAAATATCGTGTATAATGGACTTACCTGGATGTGTGGTTGCATACGCCCATGTGACAACACTTGGTAAATGGTGTCACTCATTTGACAAATCCATTAAATGGTGTTTCTACCCCCTCACACTTTCTCCTATAGCTCGGTTGACCAGATTTTCAAAAATAAAAAACAGGAACATCCCTGGTTTGTGGTGGTTAGTAATAATAAAATTGTGAAATGAGTGTGTAATTGGGAAAATTGTTCTGCACTTAGCCCTAATGTGAGTGCGTTTAGTCACATTTTCTTTGTGTTTTAGTTATTTTTAAGCAGCTTTTCTGTATCTTACTTAAACAAATGACAATTTATGCCTTTCTTTACTGTTTTAGAGATCGTTACCAGTCTGAGTTCATCTACTTGCTGCCTGGACATGTTACCCACTAGATTTCTAAAGTCTGTCCTCAACAGTTTACTTTCACCACTCACTCACATAGTTAACATGTCACTTCAATCTGGAACATTCCCAAACGCGGTCATTAAGCCTCTCCTAAAGAAGAGCAGTCTTGATGCCACAGTACTGAACAATTTCCGACCCATCTCAAATCTGCCGTTTTTTGGCAAAGTCCTTGAAAAAGCTGTTTACCAACAGCTTACGAACTTTCTCCAAATGAACAACTCCTTTGATGTTTTCCAGTCAGGTTTTAGAGCCCACCACAGCACTGAGACTGCTCTTATCAAGGTGACAAATGACATCCGCTTGAACACTGATGCAGGCAAAGTCTCAGTCTTGATCCTGTTAGATCTGAGTGCTGCTTTTGACACTGTCGATCATGGGATCCTCTTACAGAGACTAGAGGACTGGGTGGGCATCTCTGGTACTGTACTAAACTGGTTCAAGTCCTATCTAGAAGACAGGAAGTATTTTGTTGAAATTGGAAACTGTGTCTCAGATGACATGGCCCTGACCTGTGGGGTGCCTCAGGGGTCAATCCTGGGCCCCCTGTTGTTCAATCTCTACATGCTGCCATTAGGCCAGTTAATAAGCAGCAATAACGTGTCGTACCACAATTATGCAGATGACACTCAGATCTACGTCTCTCTGGCAGCAGGAGACTATGGACCAGTGGAGTCACTTTGTCACTGCATCCAACAGATCAGTGTGTGGATGCAAAACAACTTTCTCCAGCTAAACTCTGACAAGACTGAAGTCATAGTGTTTGGTCCACAGAAACAAAGGGACAGTGTCAGCAGTCACCTCCAGTCTCTCGCTCTAAAACCTTCAAATCAGGCAAGAAATCTAGGGGTAATAATGGACTCAGACTTGAACTTTAACAGTCACATAAAATCAATAACATCTGCAGCCTTTTACCATCTAAAAAAACATAGCAAAAATCAAAGGTTTACTGTCTAAAGCAGACTTGGAGAAACTTATCCATGCATTTGTCTCCAGTAGGTTAGACTACTGTAATGGTCTGCTCACTGGTCTCTCCAAACGAGCTGTGAGACAGCTGCAGAACATCCAGAACGCTGCAGCTCGGGTCCTTACTCGAACTAGGAAGTACGAGCACATAAGTCCTGTGCTCAAGTCTCTGCACTGGCTTCCTGTGCCTCAGAGAATAGACTTTAAAGCAGCTCTGCTTGTGTACAAGTCTCTCCATGGCGAGCACCAAAGTCCATCTGTGACATGTTAGTGTCATATGAACCATCTCGCACTCTGAGGACCTCAGGGACCGGCCTCCTGCTGGTGCCCAGAGTCAGAACTAAACAAGGGGAGTCAGCGTTTCAGGTTCATGCAGCTAAAACCTGGAACATTCTTCCTGAACATGTGAGACAGGCCTCTTCTGTGACGCTGTTTAAATCCAGGCTCAAAACATTTCTGTTTAACTGTGCATATAACTGAAAGGTTTTCATTCCGCACTCTTCTCTCCAATTTATGTCTCTCTTTTTTAATTTTAATCTTCATGATTATTTATGTTTTGATTTGTTTTTATTATGATTTTAATGTATTTCTTATTCTGTAAAGCACTTTGAATTACTTTGTGTACGAATTGTGCTATACAAATAAACTTTGCCTTGCCTTGCCTTCTTTACTGACTGATCAGACTGATCAAAAATAGGGACACTTGGGACATTTCTTGTATAAAACTGCAACAAATCACTGGTTTTGGATAAATCTGCTGGGACAGGGGAGACAAGACTCAAAACTGGGACTGACCCGGGTAAACAGGGACATCTGGTCACCCTACCTTTAGCATGCAGGGAAAAAGTCCTCAAATGTAGGCTGTTTATTTTTTACAATTGCAATACACAACTTTTATAGGCTACATTTAAATGGTTTAATATAATCACTTTTGTTCTATGGTATAGTGGTTTATACTACAATAGGGCTAATATTAATTTGAAAGTTACTCAAAAATATTAGGAAGGATACTTGATTTTGTAGGATGATAAGCCAAAAAAATTTAAAATAAATAAAAAAAAATATTAAACAGCATAATATTTGAAAGATTTTTACCAATGTTTTTTTTTTTTTTATTTTTTTAAAAATTATTATTATTGTTATTATTATTTTATTTTTATTTATTTATTTTGGAAAGTGCAAAGGTCAAGTCGACTATTTGTGATTAGCTCCGTCTCTTCCTGTAAACATGGCGCCAGCAAATGGAGAAAACAACTCTACAAAAACATCTCTCAACTATCCAGGTTCTTTTCTTTCAATAAAAATGATAAACTGAAGTCATCCAGCACATATACCTATCTATTATCAGTATTCAAATAATAGATTTGTAATTGAAATCTTACTTTTGTATGTTAATTGAACCTG